TGAGATCATGACCTGAGCTGAAGGCAGACGCTTAACCATCTGAGCCACCCAGGTGCCCCTATAAATATGATTTTTAAATATAAAAGAAAGATGTCAGTGGTGAAGAGAAAAAATATTAATTGATGATAATATATTAAGATACCATAGCACTTTTAGGTTGCCTTTTATGAATTTCAAAAACATTTGGAAGGCTGGAGAAAAACAGAGCTTTTTCTTGGTTAGGGTCTTTGAATTTGCAAATATGTCTTTGGATTTGCAAATGTCACATAGGGAGAAGTAAAATCCTTCAAATCATCTATTCCAAACAAATACTGTCATATAATATTTATTTTTTAGAAACTTAATCTTGAATAAGACTGGGAAACATGGAAAATTGTGAGACTTAGAGAATATTATGCTTTATTTTCACCTTGACTAAAAATAGTTCTTTTCTGATAACAACTGCCATTTTATTACTTACCCAAATCATCAGGGAGGTTTCATTTGCATCTTGGATTTTAAGACTCAAAGGCGAGATTAGTCTTTTTTTTCTCTCTACATACATAAATAATACTTCAAACTTTACATCTAGTCAAATTGAATTTATATTATTAAAGCAGCATGTAGAAAACTGACAACCTGTCTACATAATTTAAAATTTCCAACAGAAAATAATGTCACTGGATAGTAATACCGCAGTTGAATGTTACACAGATGATTACATGATCAAGTGAGAGACTCATAAGGTTTTCTCTTGTTTGTTTTACTTCTAAATTACGTAAGCCCCAATGTTTCATAATGTACAGGTGATGCACTACGGCTTGTGCTGAAACTTTGCCTTCCTTCAATTAAAAAAGCAAAACAAAACAAAACAAAAAACTTATTAAGAAAGAAAAAAATTGGTTTTAGTAATAGTGAGTTGATATTAAAAAAATCTTTGTTATAGCATCTTGTCCTTTTAGGTGCACATTAAAGGGGCTGGCACAACTGATTACACAGGGAATGTTGTGATTCTTTTCAGCACACTTTCTGCTCTTCACTTGCTCCCGGGCATCCAGCCCACTCATTGTCTGAGCGTCTCCAGACACCAGCATGTGCTCCCAGCTCTTCCGACCTCCTCTTCCTTCCCCTTAATACCCGTGTTGTGCCCTTGGCTTTGGAACTTCAGGATCCCTCCCCACAATGCGTCTAGTCCAGTAAGATATGCTGCCCCCGTGAGTAGATGGAGAGACATGGACACACTGTTTTCAAAATCTGCCCACACCTACTGTTCACGTTTTTCTGTTTCATTTTGTCTTTGTTTGATTCTTTTTGACTTTTTAAATCAATCCTGCAGCCCAGTTATTATTATTATTATTATTATTATTATTATTATTATTATTATTTTGGTAACAAAGATCTTTAAAAAATACTTCCAGGGAGGGGGGCAGCTGGGGGGCTCAGTCTGTTAAGCGTCGGACTCTTGGTCTCAGCTCAGGTCTTGATCTGAGGGTTGTGAGTTCAAGGTCTGCACTGGGCTCCATGCTGGGTGTGGAGCCTACTTGAAAAAAAAAATACTTTGTGGGTTTCTTGTTTTGTTTTGTTTTGTCTTAAGGTTACCAACAATTTTATTTTCACACAGGAGACAGAGGATACTTTGAAATCATATGTTAGGTGATGGATGGGTGATAATCATGTGCTTAGGAAATCCAATGTATATATTTTGAAGCAGTTCCTTTGTTTCCATTGCTACTTCCTTTTTAAACAGTGTTTCCTGATTTTTAAATAAGCTTAGAGTTTGACTTCACTATGATAACCCCTGTTTCCAAGAGCCTTGATGAAAGGAGATCAGAATAAAAGGGGATCTAGCTTTGGCATTCTTACCACAAAAAATACTTTGTTTTATTAGTTATCTGGAAATAAATCATCATTGAATTTTAAAATTTCATAATTTAAAAATCAAAGCAAGCTACATAAGAATAGATTTTTTTTTTTTGTAAGAAAGCACAATATCTTTGGGGACTGGGATTACATTTTAAAAAATAGAAAATTGTCAACATAGAAGTGTTAGCAGTCTTTCATGTTCTCACCCAGAGTCCCTGTCCACGGTGTCCTGGTGTTCTCATATGTGCTGTTGAGACCATCTCCTCTCTCTTGTTTGTGTTCTTTTTGACCTGCTGGAAGTCAAAGTTTGCCCTTTAGACCTGCCCACCAGGAAGGCTGACTTTGTAAATAAGCGCTACTTTGTATTGATGGCTTGTTTCTTTCATCATAATTGTATTTTTTTTTTCTAGATCAGAAGTTGCAAAGTACTGTGGTTGCTATGCCTCATGCATATATTTTGTCTGGCCCATTTAACTCATAGTTTAATTCTCTAAAATCTATGGCCATCCTTAGAACCAAGATGTTTCTTGTAAAATTAGAATATTAGAAGACTATAGTCCATGATGACAAGAATTTGCTTCATAGAATATATGTGCTTCTCAGTTTGCCCCCAAGCACATCAGGCTTGCTTCACTCATTTACTCATTATGTGGTGGATCCCTGTAGAGATTTGGATTTATACCCACTAAAAACAGGAATAAATGAGACAACCCCTTTTCTTTTTCAATCTCTGAAACTATTTCTCCATGAAAGAATCCCATTTAAAAACTAACAAAACATATCTCTGAAAATTAAAAAAAAAAAAAAAGAAAAGCCTCTGCTCTATAGAAGGCAGAGAGGTTGTGTTTATTGACACAATTTATTTATTCATGATTTCAGTGCAGTGATTAAGGAAGAAAGGTATAAAATGCAAGCACAACAAAAAGGGCACCTTATTCTACTGTGGGGTAGAGAATGCTTTGTCCGGGATGCTTTAGGAGAAGGTGATACTAATTAAGTGGAAGTATAACTAATGAAGAGGATCCCAACTACAGCTTGAGGACCGGAGGCTCTGGATGTAGGAAGACACTGTGCAGAGAATGACCTACAGGTCAGAGAAAATAACAGTGATTCTCTGGTGGAGAGCAACAATGAATAAAGCTAGATGTGCAGGCCAAATGCCAAATCATGGTCTCGTATGCCTTGTTAAGTTTTGTTGTCTGAATCCCAAAGGGAAAGATCTGGCCAGCTTGCCAACACCCGCCACTCAATAGCCTTCTGCAAGTGCGGAAACTCCCAGCTCTCTCCGTCCTCTGATACACAGGGCACCGCTGTCTCCGTCTCTTCCTCAGACTTCCACTGGCACATCATGTCATTGATCTCTCCGAAATGGTGTTTGATTTTAAAATAAAGATGCTAACTTCCTCATACAGTTTAAATTCTAACTTGTCGATAACTTAATGCATCAAGGTTTTTGGTTTTATTTATTTATTTATTTAAGGAAGAACAACAGATGCATTCTCTCCACAGGGGCTAAGATGCTAATGGTCATGAATTGGTCCAAATGTGCTTCACACTGAATTAAGGCCTTCTGTTTTTTACCCAAAGCAAGGACCGTGATGTTGGAAATTTCAGCCTTTACAAGAACTCCTACGGAAGGTTTGCAAGTGTTCTTTAGAAACACGTCAGATCTGTGGCCCTGGGCAGCCGCCCACTCTCCTTTGTGTAACAAAAGCCTGGGCTTGTGCTAGAACACTTCTGGTGTGCTGTTGATGGAATGAGGATTGACAGTTTTTATTTTATTTTATTTTCAGCTCACTCCAGTTGGCACCACGATATTTACAGGATTTTCAGGAGACAATGGAGCTGCAGACATAGATGATGGACCAAATGGACAGATAGAATACGTTATCCAATATAATCCTAATGATCCGGTATGTCAGTACCTACGTGGAATGTGACATCACTATGAGGAATAAAAACAGTGCTTACTCCAGCTGATCCTTACTATATTATTCTATTATTTAGCTCCTTGAACTACATTAGTAGTCATTCTGCTGTTAAAAATTATCTCAAAATTACTGTCTCTTATCTAGTCGTGTTATACTTTTAAAAACCACTTTTAAAAACTTTTTGGTGGGTTTTGTAGGTACAAATTTAAAATTATTTATAGGAACAATATGCCATTTTCACTACATTTCCATTGTGCTTGTGGACTCTTAAGCATTCTAAATAAATCATCAGAGATGGTGTAACCAGTATGATGCATATGCATTATGGATCTTGCCAAGTAATAGCACACTGCCGATGTCCACCAGTGAAGCCTAAGATAGAGAAGAGAACAAAACCTTTAGCTGTAGCCTTCCTTTTTTTAAGATTTTGTTTTTTATTTGAGAGAGAGAGGAGCATGAGTAGGGGGGAGGCTCATAGACAGAGGAGAAGCAAGCTCCCCGCTGAGCAGGGAGCCTGATGTGGGATTCGATTCCAGGACCCTGGGATCATGACCTGAGCTAAAGGATGATGCTTAACCAGCTGAGCTATCCAGGTGCCTGCTTTTTTTTTTTTTTTTTTTTTAGATTATTTATTTCTAATTAGACCATTGAATTTCTACACTGTTTTTAGGCTGTGAAATTATTTCCTCTAGTTTGTTATATTATCTATCACATTGATAAGATCAGAATGGTTTTGTTGCAGCCCAAGCGAGAAGCCCTACCTGCCAACTTTCCCTTCCTCTTCCCCCCAGAAAGCTTCTCAGGGTGCCATGGGTTCCCCAAAGCATCATTTTAAAATTACTTCTTAAGTGAATTTTCTAAATGAATGCTTCTTCTTTATGTTTAATATTAAGAAAATAGGAAGTGGTGAAGTTAATATTATGTTTTTATTTTTAATTTATGTATTTGTTATATAAGCTTTAAACAAAGAAACAAAAACACTGAGCTCGCAGAGACTGAGAATGGCCAATAGGACCTACTTCACACATATAGTGTGAGAACTAAGTGAATTGTGAACGTTCTCATCTTCTCGCGTGTCGGTTCGTGGGTGGGAGAGAAACGGGCTCACGGCCGTGGCTGGCTGGTGTGCACGGGGCTTCTGAGCCGCAGACTCAGGACTCTTTCTAGAGCACATGGACTCCACTTTTTCTCCGCTGTGTTCTAATAAAACAGTTCAGTACTTATGGTAAAAGTTTCAAAACAATCGGGGAAAAAAAATGAAAAGAAAAAAAGCCCCTAGGTGTAGCACAGCCTAAGGAAGATTTGGAGGTGTTTTTGTTTGTTTTATGTGTCTTCTCCCCTAAGACATGTGCCTCCAGAGCTTTAGGCAGAGGCAGTGAAAAAAAAAAAAGGGGGGAAGTAAGAGGATGTGACAGAAAAGGACCATAAATAGGAAGGGTTGCACAAGAAATTGAGCAGAAAAGATCAAGAAGGAGCAGAAGACAAAAGGACAAGAGAAACACTTTTCCTTAAAAACAGAAACAGACAGCTGACCACACATTTCATTTCTAGACAATTTGTCTTCCTTACTACTTAAGTTTTTAGAAGAATTAATTGTATGTGCGTGCCATGTTTCTAGCTTACATTTTATGAAGTCATTTCTTAATTTTTACTCTTCAAGCTGTAAAAATGAAACTCCTAGCAAGCATAGAACAGCCAGGCCATGTATTTTAGGGAAATATTTATTGCATTGCACTAAAAACCAACCTATCCAAGGTTTAGATGTAGTGTGAGACAAAAATGCATTACTTAGGCATGATCTTTCAGATGTTTTGGGGGCTGGAAATCCTTGTCACCCGTGCAGTAATTCCTTCTGAAGGCTTCCCCCTTTCAGGGACTTGTGGACTTGGCACGAAACACAATATGTACCTTTACTGCCTATAGATTGGATAAGCCAATTGGCCACATGCAGTGTCCAAATTACAGAAAAAGAAAAATGTACTCTAGCAAGCTAACACTGCTGTGGAATAAATAAAGACATTCTCTGGGCACGGACCTAATTCAATGAGGCAAAAGAATAAGACACCATGAGAGCACTTAACTTGGAGCTTATGGGGGTGCAGGGAGAAAGCATGAACCCAGCCACATCCTTACAGAGCGAACCCATCTTTAGCCATCATGGAAATTTAATGTAAACCTCAGTTACCTACTGATGTTTGTATCTGTCACCATTCAATTGCTAGTAACCCTGCTTCTATTAATAGAAGTCCCACAATGAGTCCCACAGTGTATGGAATGGTAAAGGTGTAGATTGGTCTGTTCTACTTAAAAATCTCAGGATTTGTTTGTTTGTTTTGTTTGTTTGTTTTCCAACTGATGCTGCATTATTCATTAGCAGGAATCACAAATTAATGACCTCGAGTTTCATTCCACTCACAGACATTTTGGCCACAAATTAATTTAAAGAATTTATTTTTATGTATTTAGTTGATAGAGAGAGATAGAGAGAGTGAGCAGGAGAGGCAGAGGTAGAGGGAAAGGGAGACTCTCAAGAAGACTCCCCACTGAGCCCAGAGCCTTATTGGGGTGCAATCCCAGGACCCTGAGATCATAACCTGAGCTGAAATCAAGAGTCAGATACTGAACCAACTGAGCCACCCAGGCGCCTTTGGCCACAAATTAATTTAAATCATTTTTGAGCCAATATCTAAAAATCATGAAATTTCACACTCACATCTATATTTCCCTTCTATCTTAAGAAATAGAAATATGACAACTCGGGCCCTGACTTCCAAATAAACCTGTCTAGTGTATCCAGGGATCTTTTTTTTTTTTTTCCCCCAGCTAGTATAATCCTCAGGTCGGAATGTTCCACATTTTTAGAGTTTGCCTGTCTTTGCTGAGTTTTCCTGTGGTGTCACCTGCACTGAGCATATTATTTACATCTCTGAGGACAGAGTTCAAACAGCTGCTTTAAAATCCTCCTCTGCTTGTCCTAACATTGGTCTTCCCTGATTTCCTCTCCTTCTGAGAAGGGATCCCATTCCCTGGTTCATCATGGGTCCAGTTGTTCTGAACTCCCTCCTGGACCTTGTGAAGGTTATGTTGTGGAGAGACTCTTCTATTATATTCATCTGAGAAGATTTGTCCATGTGTTTGTTTTTAATGTACCAGACAACATCATTGGGCTTGCATTAAAAACCCTCGGGTGCAGCTCGAAGCTCAGTTCTATATGCTTTCTTAGTGCACCTGTTCGAGTTGGCCTCTGCTCTAGAGGTCACCCACAGACTCCAACACAGCTTACATGTGACATTTGTTCTCTCCCTTCCTGGCTTGCTCCCTCTAAGGCCCCCTCTCACCTTCCATCAGCATTGGTGGTCCCAAAAATCTCTCCCCTGATGCTTCAGGCCAGATGGACTTTCTATCAGAATTTTGACTGCCCCTCGAGGCACTAGCTACTGTAAAACAGCAAGCTCACCCACGTTGTCTCTTCTTTCAAGTGTGTGAGATCTCCCAGAATATGTCTGCTTTGGTTATCTCTCTAGGGGTGTCTGGTATTCTTTGTTTCTTTGCACTTAGTCCAGAGTTCATAGGTGTTGTTTGTGGAAAGACTAAGCCAAGGAGGAGATCATCAACCATATAGAAGCAGAACAATCAATTCCCAATCAGTTCATTTCTTCAGTATATCTTTAGAAGACTAGTAGGCATAGTCCTTTTTCTTGCTGAACCATTCTGGTTTTCCTGTCTTAGGCAGCAGCAATGATACAATCATTTCAAAGTTCTAATAACAACAGGAGAACATCCTTCATTTCGTCGACTGCTGTGGATCTGCAGTGATGAGCTATCAGCTCGTTAACCACTGGTACTAGTTTATAACCAGAAACACTGACATTTCAAGTCTGTGTCAGGCTGATTGCTCTTTAAGGGAAAGAGAACTGGAGAAACTATTAAGAAGTGGTTTATTTATCTCTGTATTTTTAAAAAGAGGATAACTTTCTAATAAGAACATATATGAGTATATCCTCATGTCTGTGTGTTCCCAAATATCAGAGAAACAAAAATATAATATCACTTGAAAATATTATGTTGAAGACTCAGCAAATGTAGCAGATATCAATTACTGTTACTATACACCACCACTGATCTTTGAGATAAGTTTCAGGGGTTAACATGGTGTGTTAGTTATCTATTACTGTGTGACAAACCATCACAAATTTAGTGTCTTAAAACAACACATACTCATTTTTGTAGTTTCTGTGACTTAAGAGTCTAGACTCAGCTTGGCTCTCACAAGGTTGCAGTCTGGTTGTTGACCAGATTAGTTCTCTTATGGAGGCTCAACTAAGGAAGAATTTCCTTCCAGAGAAACTCAGACTGCTGTCAGAATTCATTTCTTTATGATTTTAAGATGGAAGGCATTGGCTTCTTGCTGACTTTGGCTAGAAGCTGCTCCCACCTCTGAGAGACCACACTGAGTTCCTCAGCTGTATACCCCCTGAGTTCTGCAAGGACAGTGTCTAGACCCAGGCTGTTTGCAAGATGGAGTCATCCATGACACAGTGTAGCCACAAGAGTGACAGTTTATCGCCTATGCTGTATCCTTGGTTAGAAGCAGGTCACACTCAAGGGAAGGTTTTAAACAAAGGCATGAGATGCCTATCAGGAAGTGGGGAATAGACAGGGCTCCCTCAGGAATCTGTCACAGCTACTATTATGTTCAGCATTATTGTCATCATTTTTGAATGTTGTATAAACAAATCTACTTCAAAAGGTATTTTTTTAATGAACTTACACAAAATAGAGGGCATGAAGTTTCTATTCCAGTCTTAATACAGGCCAAATTGAAGATGGTCACTTGTATTATTAGTATCTTTGTACCCTACCTGTATTTTCTTATGATGTGCATGAACATTTATACTAGATGTGGAATAGAGAAGAATCAGGCATTTGTACTATCCAAAATCATAAAAGTTTAATTACCAATGTTGCAAACTCATCTCTAAAACAAAGCACACTTTTATTTAACCCATGAGCAAAATCAGAATAGTTAAAATTGAGCTTTCTTTTCTTTCTTTTCTTCTTTTTTCTTTTGCCATCATTTTCATTGAATTTTATCTAAAATAAATAAGGAATGAGTTTAGGGATGAATAGCTGCTAAACTGATTGCATTTTTTTTTTTTTTTAGAATTTATTTATTTGACAGAGGGAGACACAGCAAGAGAGGGAACACAAGCAGGGGGAGTGGGAGAGGGAGAAGCAGGCTTCCCGCAAAGCAGGGAGCCCAACGCAGGGCTCGATCCCAGGACCCCGGGATCACGACCCGAGCCGAAAGCAGATGCCCAATGACTGAGCCACCCAGGCGCCCCTGAACTGATTGCATTTAAAGCAAAAGCATTTACGCTGGTTTCCAAAAGGTTCTGGTTCTTCCTCTCTTTGGAGATAGGCCAGGAGTGCCTTTTATTTTTATTTGTTTATTTTTTTTTCCGGTCAGAAGAATGACCTGCTCTGGGTAATGACGTGTGAGCTCACAGAACCAAGTACAAATCACCATTGCCCTCCTCCTCCCATCCCCCTCCCCTCCTCCTCCCCTGACACCAGTCTTAAAAAAAGGATATTATATAGAAATCACAAATTGCAATGTTTGAACTCTTTGTTGATAAAAAAAACGGTGGTAACAGGGAAAATTTCCAGATACCTGAACTTTGATTTAGAAGTATCCCAGGGCTATTGATGGGTAACCCTAAAAATATACAAAAAACTGTTACAGGAAATAAGTTTTGTGGTTATTATCAAAATGACTCTGGTGAAACCCATTGATCAACATGCAAAGTTTTTTAAAATGACGAGAGTATTGGGGGGCGCCTGGATGACTCAGTCAGTGAAGCGGCCAACTCTTGGTTTCATTTCAGGTTATGATGTCAGGGTCCTGGGAGAGAGCCCTAGTTGGTTCTATGCTCAGCGGGAAGTCTGCTGGAGATTCTCTGCCTCTGCCCCTCCCTCCCTCTTTTGCTCTCTCAGATAAATAAATACATCTTTAAAAAATGATAGTATTAAATATGAAGCTTACAGGCAATATTCTATTTTCAGATGATAAGCATGCTCTCTAGAACTTTCAAAAGACTAGGTTGCAACACTGCATTCTCTAATTCATCTTATATTTGAAGGAGTTGATTCTGTATCTTTCCCTATTTGCAGACATCTAATGACACCTTCGAAATTCCCCTCATGTTAACTGGAAATGTGGTGTTAAGGAAGAGGCTCAACTATGAAGATAAGACTCAGTACTTTGTCATCATCCAAGCTAATGTGAGTATTCAATTTCCCTAGCTTCCCTCTGGGGAACTTACGAAGTAAAGAATGCGCCCGAAATATGTAAGTGCTCTCAGAGTGCTTGGTGTAGTTTATGGGCTGGACAGGGTAGGCTGCCCACAGCGTAATTTGTATATTATATTCTTCTAGATGGGAAGTGGGATGGAAGGGGGCAGGAGGATTGTTTCTCCTCACTGTTTCCTTCCCTCTGAATCACTCATACCCACTCTTCAATAATTTGCCTTCAGTTCACACTGAAGTATTTCTCAAAGTGTGATACATGGAATGTCAGCAGCAGAATCACCTTGGGAGGATATTAAACATGCAGATTCCTGGACCCAACCTCAGACCCTCTGAATAAAAATTCAAAGGGTAGAAGTGGAATGCTTGCATTTTTATTAACTCCCCAGGGGATTCCAGAGTACACTAAAGGAAGAGAAAAACCTTCCAATTGGCAATCTTCTCTCCCATGGCTGCCATTTCTTGAATAGTTGCTCACTAGGTGTCAGCGACTGGGACCATAACCAGGATGTGTGCACAGTAGGAACAGAACATCAGAAAACAGTCTTACATAATATGGGCTTTTTAAAAAAATTTATTTATTTATTTGAAAGACAGAGAATGAGAGAGAGAGAGCACATGAGAGGGGGGAGGGTCAGAGGGAGAAGCAGACTCCCTGCCGAGCAGGTAGCCTGATGCAGGACTCGATCCCGGGACTCCAGGATCATGACCTGAGCTGAAGGCAGTCACTTAACCAACTGAGCCACCCAGGCACCCTATAACATGGACTTTTGTTATCATTTTAATAAAATCCCTAGATTCATGTGGATCAAGGGTTGGTTTGACAGCTCAAGTATATCACTAAGGACTCAGGTTACTTCTCTCCTTACACTGTGCCTCTTTCCTGAAATTTGGTTATTTTTCCAATGCCTTATTTGTCAGGGGCTAGTAAATCCCACAGCCTAAGCATCACAACTGCATTTCAAGTCTGAGGGTAAGCAGGTGGAAAGAGGGCAAAACTAGGACTCCTCTTAGGTTTGTTTATTCCTCCTTTGTCTGCAAGGAAACTCTTCCCGAGTCCTCTCCCATCCAATGTCCCCTCCCAGCCTGGGATCCCAGGAGGCAGCGTAGAGAAGGGAGGTTGAGGAAGATTGTATGTAGCAAAGGGGAATGAGGTAATCACCTCTGGATTACACCAAATTCTCTGCATCTCCTGGAGCTGGACACACTGATAACCCTGGGGGCCTAGGCCGGGAGAAGAAGGAGGAGGAGAGGCAGAGGAGGAGGAAGGAAGGAGAAGGAGAAGAAGAGTTTGTTAACAAGAAGAACGGGGCTAGTACTTCAGCAAACAACTGATAGGTCTGGCTACAGATAGCTTCCAGTATTGACGAAGGTCCATAGAAAGTGACAGGATCATGTTCTGAAAAGGTTATTAGACCCTGAAGCCAACCTCTGCCTTTAAGGGCTCCTAAGCATTGTCATCCTAGTCATGTGGCAGAACAGGAAGACAGCAGAGAGGGGCAAAAGGAAATCTTCGTCCGCCAGCTCTTCTGAACCAGTTTATATGCAAAAAGGTGTCACTCAATGGCATTTTTGCCCAAAAGATATTTTGCCAGAAAGGGGGGGGGGATTTTGTCTGTGTATATTTATATTAATATCATTTTATATATTTATAATATATAAATATATTTACTTATATATAAATATAATTATTTTATGTAACATATATAATATATATAAATTTATCTGTTATATATAGTAGGTAGGTAGTAGATATAGATACATAGATAGAAATCTAATTTTTGAAGCCAAATCTCTAGATTTACGTTCAAAATTCTCCAGTTGGTTGTTTTTCAACTGATTGTCTTGGTGTCCAGGGGTAGAGGCTAAAGTGGAGACAGACAGCAGATATAAGAAAAAGTAAAATCTACTGGACTCTCAGTAGGTTGAGTAGATTTGAGTTCCTCAAAACCCTGAAATCTTTCTTTTTATAGATTATTTCCATGCAAGTGAAAATGAGAAGAAAAAATACAGTTTCCCTTGCCTGACTCAGAATCTCTAATAAAATGTAGGGAAAAGTAAGATTGCTCTGGAATGTATCTGAAAACAGTTTTTATTGTGCTATTTAAAATGAGTTTGTTTGTTTTTTTTTTTAAAGAAACTCAAGCTAAAACATCTGAGTTGCTATTTAATTTAAAATATTTATAAAGATACCTGGAACAATTTGTATGCAATCTGCTAGACTGCCCATAAGTGAGGGAGGGAGTGTTAAATTTTTAGCATTTCAGGGATAAAATTATGAAATAGAAGGATATGCATGAATCATCAAAAGGAAGGGATGGAATTGGCAAGAAATTAAAGAAAGGGTTAATTTATCTGTAACAATTTTTATTATAAACTTAAATCAGACAGTATAAAATGTGAATGTTAAATATAGGAGATTAGAAGCTTTTTGGTGTTTTTAAAAATTTTCAGAGCGATATCCTTTTAATGATTTTAGAATATACCAAAATTAGGATGCATTATAATTAATCCAACTATACTTTCCATTTTTTTGTTTTTTGGCATGGGATGGTATCTACCCTCTTGACTCTCGTGAGAGGCAGTGAGTGCAGGATTGTGGCAAAAGCATGAATTCTCGAACCACCATTACCTGGATTTAAATGCCAGTGCTGCCGTTGACTAGCTGGGTGACTTTGGGCAGATGTTGTACCTCAGTTTCCTACCTAGTAAAATGACGATATTAATAAAACACACCACATAGACTTCTTGTGAAGATTAGCAAGTTAACAACCACAACTAATACTTAAGACAAATGCTTGGAATATATTCTCATATCGTTACAGTATTCTATAAACTACTTAAACACTGGCACTTCATAGTTCAAAAATGGATCATGTAGGGGCTCCTGGGTGACTCAGTCAGTTAAGCGTAAGCATCTGACTCTTGATTTGGGCTCAGGTCATGATCTCAGGGTCCTGGGATGGAGCCTTGCGTCTGGCTCCACACTCAGCTGGGAATCTGCTTAAGATTCTCTCCCTCTGTCCCTCCCCCATTGCTCACATACTCTCTTTCTCTCTCAAATAAATAAAATCTTTTAAAAAATGGATAATTTAAAAATGGAATTACCATGAGAAACTTATGTTTATTATGAATGTATAAGCATATACTTTTAATCTTACTAAATAGCACCATATTATTTTCCAAAGTATTACAACACATCACTCCCCCCCAACAAATGGTAAAGAATTCTTCATTGCCTCTACATCTTAGACACATAATTTACTTAAAACGGTGGGTTGTTGGAACTGAAAAGCTGGCTCCTACTTGCTTAAGGACCGATTGTGGGTCTCTTCCCAGCTCCAAGTTCAATGACCTCACATTTGTGGTCATGGTGGTAGGGCCTAGAGTACGGAAAGTGACAAATGCTACAAATCAGAGCTTCTTCTCTCAGAGAGATGGTTGTTAAACATGGACTGCTTTGTATATGCCAACGTCTATGTCGGGGAGCAAGAATCCCTGTCCTCTCCAAAGGTCCTTCTAGCTGGACTCAGGATCAAATTGACATGAGACAGATTCACAGACAAAAATCAAATGTAATAGGTGTATGTATGGGGAATCCACACAGATGTGGAATTCCAAAGGCATTCAGGCAGGATGAGGTCTGTGTGTCATCCTGAACTAGGGAGAAGGGGGTGGGAGTCTGGGGCTTCAGAGGAAAGGGATGCACTTCATAGGATGATAAGAAAAGCATATATCTGATAATTAGATGTTTGCCCTACCATACAGGTGGGTCACTCAGATAAAATTTATCTCTGTTAATAACCTTTATTCTGGGAGACCCCAATTTAGGTTCTTCTGTGTGGTTAAGAGAAGGACAGAATTTATCTTTTGAGTCTGCACAGTCTCAGGTGCCTTCAGCTCACAATATGCCAAAGTTGTACATTTGCCAGGGTGGGCTGTCCTGAACCCCTTCATCTATATAATTTATATTTTTATATTTATATAGAATCATGAAATCCACAGACTGTTATATGTTTCTGATTATATTTTTATATTCTTTGGGTTTTTTAATTATTGTCAATGGTATGTAAATCAATGTACATTGTAGATCATGTACATTAAAACCTGCATTATTCTCTTCAAGTCATAAAGAGAGTGGAAATATGAGCGATTGATTTTGATTTTAAAGTAGATGGTACCTAAGAGGGTAGAGGTCTGATGATAAATTACTGAAATCACTCAGTTTGGATCTGGCTTCACTTATGGTACAAAGATTTGATTGATGTGCAAAGGAAACTATTCAAATTTCACATAATTAGGAAGTTTCTTTTTATCCATGTGGGCATGTTGTTACTCTTAAATAAGCCGGGAGAGTTTTGGTTAGCATAAATAAGAAAACTTGTCACTCGTTTTATTGAGAATATTTGCAACATTATTACCCATGGTTCATTTTAAATATGAATATGCAGTGAGGGAATGATTATTTCTAGAAAACAGAAGGAAAAGAAATCTAAAAAAGAAAGTTCAGAGATACCCAGAGATCAGTGGGTTTTCTTTCTATTGAAATGTCCAATATAGTCTGTACCACAAACTCCAATTTTTTGATATATTACCCTAAATCACAAAGGAATCAAACTCATCTCTTTATACATAGATATTATTCAAAACCAGCTTTCTTTTGTATTAGCATTATCCTGACAGAAATACTAAGGATTCTTAGGTACTCAAGAGCTCTTGATTAATTGTCAGAAAGAAAAACTTTACATTTAATTTAGAATCATAGCCAGGGTAATTTCTAAGTTACCTTATCAATAACAGGGCAAATTTAATATTTTCTCCAATATCAAAAATCTAGAATAGGGACACTAGTTGTCTTTCATAATAAGATATTATGTAATTCCTAAAAATACTATTTCTTTCTTATCTCTGTCTTTTCTCTTAATACTATGAATATTCAGAACAGTATGTAAACATTATAATTATATGGGCTTGGA